ACACAACGCAAAACTCCAGATGGCCCCCGCGTCACGCTTTCATCGCGCTCAACTTAGTCCCCCCCTTTAAGAGGGGGGGACCTAGGCCGTTTGTTCGGCCTTCACCTCGTTGTTATTATGCGGCAGGGGTGCCACCGGGCCCCTGCCGCGCCCCCTTGGTGTTGTGGGGGCGGGTGGGTCGCGGGTCTCCAGCCCACGCCCACCCCCTGGTGCTCCGTGAGCTGCACGGAGCTCCAGCCTCCTCTTGCTCCCTATCGGGAGCACTGGGGGGGGCGCAGGTAGCAGGCGACCCGACGCCGCCCCTAAGGGCGAAGCCGGCCGCCCCACGAATCCCGCCCCCCCCCCCCCCGGGCTCCTCTTCTACATGCATGCATGCAGTCCTGCGGGGGAGGGGGGGGCGACCCCAGTTGGGCCGCCGTCCCCCCCCCCCCGCAGGTTATCTTCATGTCCCGTCCCGTTATCGGGCCAGGGTCCATTTTCGGAGGTGTGCGGGGGTGCCTCTTCTTACCCTCCTGGCCCCCGCTCCCCCACCTTGCGGTGCTGCAGGGGTCACCTCTCCCCTCCGCACCCGCTCAGCCTCCTCCTTCTGGAGCATTACATGCTCACAGAAGGAGGAGAAAGCCTCCCATTTGCTCCTGTCCCCCGTTACAGCGGATATTATCGCCCCGGGGGACAGGTCCAGCCCTATCTTGTCGACAAGGACTCGGCGCTGCGCATCCCACTCCGGACACTCTTCGAGTGTATGCTGCGCCGAGTCCTTGTCTGCGCCACAGTGGTGGCACTCTTCTGTTGCCTCGCGTCCTATCCGCCGCAGGTACTCACCGAAGCAACCATGCCCGGTGAGCACCTGCGACGTCCTGTATGAGGCCCTCGCCCATGGGCGCTCCAGCCACGCATCGAGACGCGGGAGGATGGCCTCCACGGTACGCTTGCCCGGGGTATTTGGCCCCGAGAGTCGCGTCCGCCATTCCTCCCGCGTCTCCCTCCTAGCCTGGGCTCCGAGGAGCCTTCTCACCCTCGCCGTGACCGGGACGCCTTGCCCCCGGAGTTCCCTGGTGCGCCGGTACACTTGTGCGTACCCGGCCGCCACCAGGTCAAGGGGCGGCATCCCGGCCATCAGCGTGGCCGCCGTGTGGGATACCGTACGGTACCCCCGTATGGCCCTTATGGCCATTCGCCTTTGGGCCCCCCTGAGGATCGCAAGAGATTTCCTGCTCCTCATGAGGGGCCCCGCCCACACGGGGGCACCGTACGTAGCCATCGAAGACAGCACATTGGCGTAAAGCCTTCTCGTCTTCCCACACGGCCCGCCCAGATTGGGCATTAGTCGCGATAGCGCGTTTCCCGCGCTGTCCAATCTGGGCACCAGCTTGCTGAAATGCTCCTCGAAGCCCCAGCGTCCGTCTATGTGGAGGCCCAGATACTTTATCTGGGCCCCCACTTTTATGGCCTCGCCCTCCACCTCAATTCGAGCTTCGGGTGGCGGCCCAGCCGAGCCGTCATGAAAGAAGACGGCCTCGGTCTTTCTGGCCGCCACCTTCAGCCCCAATGCCCTGACGGCCCTTGTCGCGCAGGCCACTGCCAAATTGCCGTTCTCAATGGCCTCCCCCCAATCCTCCCCGCCGGCAAGCACCAGCGTGTCGTCTGCATAACACACGCACGTGCTGCCGGCGGGGAGTGCCGCGCGCAGCACCTCATCATACGCAATGTCCCACAGGAGTGGTCCTAGGACCGACCCCTGCGGGACACCGCGGTCCGCTCTCCAGGTGCGCGACTCGCCATTGCGGTCCACGCACTCGATTTCCCTGTCTCTCAAGTATTCCCCGATTACCGCACGCAGGTAATCGGGGACCTCAAGCCTCTCCAGCCCCTCCACTATCCTCTGATGGGGGATGGAGTTGAAGGCGTTTGCCACGTCTAAGGCAACCGCCAGCACAACCCCTCCATCCCCCATCATCCTATCTGATATCTCGCGGACGCACATTATTGCGTCCACGGTAGATCGCCCCTCGCGGAAGCCGAACTGCCTCTCGGACAGGCCAGGTCCAGTAGTCTCTACATGCCCCATGAGTCGGGCCGCTACTACTCTCTCAAAGATCTTACTGGCCTCGTCCAAGAGGCAGATCGGCCTATAGCTCCCGGGCTGTTCCGTGGGCTTTCCCTCTTTGGGGAGGAGCACCAGCCTTGACCTTTTCCACAGCCCCGGAAAGGTGCCCTCCTCCAGGCAGCGGGTGAACAACACCCCCAGCCTTTCGGAGAGCTCCTCCAGGGCTGCTTTCCAGGCCACGCCGGGGACCCCGTCCGGCCCTGGCGCTTTGCCCTTCTTGAGCTTTTTAGCTGCTTTGGCCAGTTCCGTCCGGGTAACCCCCAGCTCCTCCGGAAATGGCCGGTGCTCCCCCCCTCCTTGTTCCACGTTGCGGAGGTCCCTCCCGTCCCCCGCTGGGAACAGCGTCTCTACTACCTCCTGGAGGAATTCCGGCCTCAACGCCCCCACCGTGGGGGGCGCCCCTGAGTTTAGCCTGTTCATAACAAGCCTGTAGGGGCGCCCCCACGGGTCCGTGTCTAGAGATTGAACCAAGTCATCCCATGCCCTCTCCTTTGCTAATTTGATGGCCGTTCTTAGGGCCTTTCTCTTTTGCCGGAACTCCTCCAGGAGTCTGTCCTCCTCCGCTTGGGTGGTTCCCCTCCTCCTTCTCGCCCGCAGGACGGCTCTCCTGGCGGCCACCGAGGATCTCCTAAGTACTTCGATTTCCTCAGACCACCAGTAGGCCGCCCTGCGTGGGGCGAACCTCGCCCGCGGCATCGCGCTGTCGCACGCGCTCACCATGGTTTGCCGCAACCAAGCCACCTCTTCCTCTACAGTAGCCGCCGGCTCTGGACGTGTCCACAGTGCCACCCCCACTGTTTCCACCAACTTGTCGGCGTCCAACTTGTCCGTTCTCCACCTAACCACCTCTTCCTGGGCTCCCCTGTCTCTAATTTCCCGGGAAAGCTCCAGCTTTATGGGGAGATGGTCGGAGAGCAACTCAACGCCCTCCGCCACTCCCCACGATCTTACCATCCTCGCAGCCGCAGGGGAAGTCCACGTCAAGTCGACTATTGACTCCCCCTGCGGCCTCACGCATGTGCTCACCGCCCCTACGTTCTCTAAGTGGAGGCCCAGGCGCGCCGCCCAGGCCTCCACATCCGCTCCTTTGGCGTCTGGCCGCCGGGAACCCCACAATGCCGATTTGGCATTGAAGTCCCCGGCGACCAGCAGTGGCCCGGGAAGATACTCCCGGACCACATCCTCCAAGTCTCGCAGCCGGGTCTCTAACTCAGCCCTCGTTAGGCTGGGCCTAATGTAGACCCCGATTACCACTACGGGCCCCCATTCAACCGCGACCCAACCTTCACCAGCCTTCAGTCTGGACATGGGAGGGGTCCTCTCTCCCGTCCGCCTCCAGAGTATAGCGGCCGAGCCGTCCGTGCTCCCTGCCCAGCAGGGGTTTTTGGGGACACGGTACGGCTCGGCTATTACTCCGAGCCCACAACCACGCTCTGCCAGGCTGTGTAGGAAGAGGTCCTGTGCCTGGCAGGCGTGGTTGAGGTTTGCTTGGAGCACCTTCATGGCTGTGAAGGCGCCCCCTTTCCAGTCTCCTCCAGACTGTTTCCTTCTCGTGGCTGCTTCTTTGCACCCTGTGTCGCTGGCTCGGTCTCCATTGGTTCCCCTTGTCCGGCTGACGAACCCGCGGCTGTCCCCTTATCCGTCTTCTTATTACGGCCCTCCTCCCGGCTCTTCTTGGCCTCTCTCCTCTTCTCCCCCTTGCTCGGGGGTTTGCAGGCTGCACCTCCAGCCTTGTGGTTGGAGGGCAGCCCTTTGCTGCTACACACCGCGCATTTCGGGGTCTCACCGCAGCTTTGAGCCTTGTGCCCCTCTTGGCCACACCTGTAGCACATATTGCTCCTATCCACGGTGCTCCTACATTGGCCCCTGACGTGCCCCCTCTCAAGACACTTAAAGCAGACGAGGGGGCGGGGCTCCAGCAGCTCAACTCTGGCTGCCACCCATCCAACCTTTATCTTCCTCGCCGCAGCCACTCTCTTGGCCACCTCTATCCCACACTGGATCCAGCACGTTCCGAATCCGCTGGGGGTGTGGCGGATCGGGCCCACTTTAATTTCCTCCTTCGGACCCTCTCCAACCCTGGCTACCGCGTCTCGGACCTCTTCCGTCGTGATGGACTCGTCTAAGTCCTTCATCCGGATCTCCGCCCTTTTTGTAGGGCGAGAGACCCGGACTCCCTTCTCCTCCGCTACCACTTTAATTCGGCTGGCCAGAGTGTCCGCCTTAGCTTTCGCCTCTTCTCCTCCAGGGATTTCCAGCAGTGTCGCCCCGTTAAGGGCTCTCCTATGTTTGACACTGCTGATTCCCATTTCTTCCAGATTAATCTGGGACCTCAGGTATCTCATACCGTCTCCTGCTTGTCCCTCCGGGAAGGATATCGCCACTGCGGCTGTCCTAGGTGCCCTCCTCTTTGGCGCCTCCTTTCCTTTCTTTCCTTCCGGCGCCTTTTCTCCAGCCTTGTTGGTACCTACGGTTGCCGGCTTGTTGGGCTTCGCCGCCGGCTCCTGTTTCGCACCACTGGGCTTCTTCTTCCCCTTTTTAACCACCTCCGCCCATGAGGTGGTTGGCTTGGAAGAGGTCTTCTCCTCTTTTCGCATCTCCTCTTTCCGCAGCTTTTCGTCCTTCTTGCCGCGGACGATCCGTGTCGCCTCCTCCCTGGCCTTGACCCGGATCTTGTCCCTGATCGCCTCCACTTTTGTGATCAAGGGCGCTTTCCTCGGGTTTATCTCCTTTCCAGGCTGATGTTCCTCCGGGATGCGGGTCAGCACCCCCTGACACCTGGTTATCAGGTTCTCCAGGTTTTGTTTGACCTGTTGTGGATCCCCCTTTATCACCTCCTTAATGGAGACTGCCTCCATTACCTTCCTAATGCCTTCCATGGCTTCCTCCGCTGGTGGCTCGTCCAGCACCCTCCTATGGCCTCTGACCATTGGCCTGTGTACCGCGCCCGTGGTGTTTTTGGCAGGTTCCAGTTTCGCTGCCGTCTCCGGTTTCTGGCTATGGGCCTTTGGCCGAGCAGATTTCCCCGCTTTTGTGGGTTTCGCAGGGACCTGGGCACGGGTCATAACTCGGGGTGAGTGGTCTGCCCCGTGATCCATTCCTGGCATCTCCTCCATTACTGGCGTAGCCTGTCTGTCCCTGCTCTCTGCTCTTATTCTCGCCTCCCTCTCTTGGTGAAGGAGGGACATCAGCTCCTTCACCTGTTCTTCGAGACTCTTCACTCTCTCTCTGAGTCTCGAAGTCTCCTCCTCCAGCGCCCTACTATGAGACCCCGCCGTCTTCGAGGCAATCACCGAGGCTGCGGCTCTTAGGTTTTTCGAGCAAACCTTCAGCTCTTTCACGTAGGTGCCCTTCAGGTTCTTCGACCTTTCGGCAACCTTCACAACAACATTAATGTTGTTTAACATCTCAGCAGCTATTTGTGTGCTGCTGAGACCCTCCATCTGGGACACAGTCTCCCTCTCCGGCGTGGTGTCCCGGGGGAGAACCTTGGGATTCACCACCTCCGCCAGCGCCTTTTTCTCGGCCTTCAGCCTTTTTATATCCCGCCGGTATTCCTCCCTCTTCCTTTTGCCGATGCCCGCGTAGGTCGTGGGCGGCCTCCCTCTTTTCTTCCTCTTTCCAGTGGTCGCGTCCACTGACGATACCGAGGAAAAGTCGTCCTCCGTGGATGAGTCTACGTTGTCCACGTTGATTACCGCTTCCGTGTCGGATCCTTCGGAATCCGACGGAAGCGGGAGGTTCCTGATGGCCTTCGAGCACGCTGGCCCGGGCTTCGTGCCGCGTGCTGTGGCCGATATACCGGCTTCATCTTGACTGGGCGTCCTTTGGGACTTTTCCTTCCTGCCTCCTGTCCCTTGGGTACAGCCCTTCGTCTTGTTTGTGTGCTCCTCTCCTCTTGGTTGTGTGTGTTTTAAATTTGCCATGACTACAGTTGATTGATTAACCGGTTCGCCTATCATGGGACCCCCACCGCGGTGGGGGTACTGTCCCCGGTGTTAATAATCCCTATTTAAGGACCGGGCAGAGGAGATGCCTTTTTCGGGGGAGCCACCCCCTATCCCAGTCAGTGACGCTATAGAAAAAGGTTCCTGGAGACGGCCAGGTCCACCATTATGCTACAGTTTTTACTTCACCCCCGGAGAGCGGCGCGCACCGATCCGATCGGCCGCATACCCCTCCCCAGGGCTAGAAGTCGTCAGGGATTATCCCCCCTCACAGGGTATGAGAGGACGCTGGCTCTGCGCCTCTCCACACCCGCGCCCGGACTGCCGGCTTCAACGCCCTGATTGGCTCCAGACGGACGAGACGGGAGCGGTTTTCCCACATTAAACATGCCACTTCCTGCGGACTTTGCCAGTAAACTGGTCTTACA